AGCCCAATTGGGCTTATTATCTGGGGAGGGCTTATTTTTGGAGAAACAAGGTATTCAAATTGAACAATGATGTGGTCTCCCCCACCCCCAAAAAAATCAGCACCTACAGTGGTTCTTTTTAGCCTACAGCCTAGTCACATCATAACAACCAACTCACGCTGATCCTCCAATGGAAAGTCATTAAGCTCCTTCTGGAGGTATAGAAAAAAAAACATTGCTTATCAGAAATTAGGAACAGCCATAGCATTGGGTGTCTTTGAAAAGACTGGTACTGATGGAGCTAGAGAGAACTGGAACAGGTGGGGGGGCAGGGGAAGTGAAGTGATTGGTCTGTGTAGCTTGGTTTTGTTTAATTTTTTCTGCCTTTGAGCTTGTCTTAATTCCTGGTGACTTTTCTTGGCAATGTTTTTAGAAGTGGTTTGCCACTGCCTTCTTCCTGGGCTTATATGACTCAACAATGTGTAACTTGGGGAAACTATAGAAAAAAGTATCAAAAATAACAAGGGCTGGGGAAGAGAATAACCCTTTTGAGAGTCGCAGTGGCTGCAGCATATTCCACTCCTTACTGAAGCTCTAGATTTCCAGCTTTCAGATGAAATCCAATCATGTCTACACAACAGCAGAACACAACAGACTTGTGTTTTGGAGTTCGTAACACTAATCCATCTTTTTTTTTTCTCTCCCTCTCACAGTACGGTGCTGACGTTAAGGCCCATGATGCTGTGGGGCACACCGCACTCTTCTACGCTCGCCGAGCAGGAAGCCAAGAATGCATTGACATCTTAATGCAACATGGTTGCCCTAACGAAGGCTACAGCACTATTGCCACCCCAGGCCTGCGCCGGAAAAGCAGCAGTGCCAGCATGGGAAGGACCGAGGCCCGAACTGCCCTGGTGTAGCATGCCGGGGGGAGCCTCTTCCCCATCCCAACGGTGCCAACAAGAGTGCAGTGACTGATGCCTCCTCTCCTTAAGGAGATCCCACTCCCCTCTGGCACCTGGACTGTAATGCCAAGGAGCATAGATCATGACTTGTGTCATGCAGAGGCGGTGGCGGCTCCCATCCAGAGCCTGGCTTCAGTGGTTCTGCTTGGCATAGGCTGCCATCACCAAGACTCACAGCTCTCTCTACTGCCAGGCCTTGAGCTGCTCTGCTGATATCCTGGGCAAACAGCCGTCTCTCCAGACAGGTCATCAGAGAAAGCCTACAGGGAACCGAGAGCAATGCGTTCCAGTATTTGGAGTGAATAAGAATTAGGACCTGGGCTGACGTTGTCGTCTTCCCAATTAAGACTTTGGGAAATGAGAGGGACAAGTGTTTACGTGGGGTCAGCTCCCCTTTTCTTTCTGGGTTTATAAGTGTTGAAGGCGAAAGGTAAATCAATATTACTGGAGCGGTTGGTGACTGAACTGCACTAACCACTTCTATGGAGCCCCAAAACATGACAATACAGGGGGGGCGGGGGGAGTGTTGAAGGGTCCAAGAGCGTTTGTCACAACTATAGCACTGAGGGAAGAAGGTTCAAGAGGGAACCTTTGTGTCACTTAACGTGGCTTAAGTGAACCCCTCTCCTCCTCGTGTTAGGGTACAGGGCTTGGTGGATGCACTTGAGCTGTGGCGCACTAAAGGGGTTGTAGGCCAGCCTCCCTCATTTCTAGGCAGGAGCGTGTACAAAAACAAGAGTGAAGATGTTTGCTCAAATCCAGCGAGGACGGGCATGTGGAAAACATGCATTTCATGGAGAAACCTGTTTCCATTATTCAGTTTCCCTTGCCCTTTAAACAAATTGGGTTTTCTCTTCCAGAACGCCGACTCTTTGGGGCATTTTTCTTTATCCGAGAGAGAGAGAACATATTTTTATTTAGCAGACACAGCTCCTAATGCCTGTTTTGTGAAGCGTTTTAATTTGAAATGTCGTGAGGCTGTTGTGAAGCCCACCCGCACCCGGCCTGTCCAGGTCGAAGCGGTGAGGCTGAATGAATTAGGACACCCATTAGCAGCAAGTCTCCACCTATTGCCTTGCCAGACCCCTTTAGTCTTAGACTCAGGATCACCCTGCTATCACTCGGAAACACCAAGCACACTCCTTCTTGAAGCCGCACTGAAACACATTCCTTCTGCTAACTTTTCCTCAGGTCTGGCGCCAGATCGTTGCACTGAAATAGCTGTTATGTCTTACACTCTTTCGAAGGCCCCAAGCTGCCTCCTTCTCCTTAGAAACCTTTCCACTCTTTCAGGTCGTTCAGAGGAGGTAACAAATGGTTGAGGCAGCTGGTTACGGGCCAAGAAGGGGGCTCAACCACGGTGAGGCAAACGCTGGGCATCTCTGAGGAATTCAACAAGGCCATCTTTTATGGATGCTGAGCGCTCCTCCTGAAGCTATAGACATACTGAGCAGCCAGAGGGGGAGTTCTTCCAAAGCAACACAGAGCCTGGCTGTTAAAAAGAAGAGTCGTTTTTTTTAAAAAAAGAGAAAGAAATGAAGGAACATTTGTAAAAAGCTCCTGTCTTCACTCCTCCCAGTATTATCTCCCCTTTCTGACTTTTGTCCTAGTTTATTGCTTCATTTCGAGAAGGATAAAATCCTTCCCACTCTTTCTTCTCTTTCTGGTTTGGCAGCTCTCCTGGTGCAAGTGTTTACAGGCCTCGCCTCCACTGTTGTGGCAGGGGCATCTGTGTGGTTGTGATGAGTGATGTGGTCTCAGGCTTTATTTCAAATCTGTGATCAGGGTAATGCAATTAATCCTCCCTCCCCAGTGTGGACAGACCTGGGCTGGAGCGGCCGTTACAATTGCTGCCTCCACCCCACTGGCCTCTGGTCAAACCCAGCCTGATCTCATTCCTCTGGCCGCTGGTTTGTACCATGAGAACTGGACGTGCGGGCAAAGGGCACAAGCCCAGCCAGGCCACATCACCTCTTAAGACACCTCGGGCTTTCTTGCCCTTCTGAATCTGAACAAGTTCTTGAATGTACTGGCGATTGTGTTGCACGAGATCCATGCCCCTTAGCTGTCAGATGGAACCTGATAGGCCTGGCCCCAAGAGGATAGTTAACACACTCACATTGTTGCCAGCTTCCCCACGGCATGATGGATGAGCATGGCAGGCTGTTGGGAAGGGAACTGGCTGTGCATCCTGGTTTCCGAGCACTTTGGAATCCAGCCTTGAGGGTCAGAAGAAAGCAGGGGGCACTGATCCGTCAACACTGAATGTAATTTATGCTTTGGGGGGGCTGGCAGTTCAGCACAAGTTCGTGGGAGAGCCTCTTGTGCAAGCCCCAGATTTGGGACTCGAAAAGTAAGGTGGGTGGAAGTGGGGGGGAGGGGATGTGGAAGTGCCAGAGCTGATATTATTGGCCCTGTGCAGCTGTTGTAATCTCTTGGATTGTACCTTGTAAGTATGTGACAATGTAAGAAGATGTAATAACAGTGACTGATTATTCCTTCTTGTGATAGCTTTCCAGAGTTGGATTGCCAAGTGGGTGGGAATATTTCCGTTGGGGTTTTTTTTTCCTTCTCTTTTTACAGCAGCAGCAAATAAGGAAGAGCATTTAGGAGAAAGTAAATGTTGCCCCCCCCCCCCTTGGAAATTACTAATGCTGAGAAGGAGAAGAGGAGAAGGAAAGGGATAGCAACGGAGTTTGTAACAATTGGTCAAATGCAAGCTAGGGACATGATATTCAGGTGATCTCAGAAGCCTTGCTATGTTCCCAGGAGACCACAAGGAAGTGACAGTACTCTTAATTCTCTCCACTTGATCATCTCCTTGCCTATCTTTTATCCCACTGCAACAAAATCTAGTGTTTAATATGACAGAAGTAGAAAAAAAAACCTCAGCATATAGATGGACAGGAAGATTCTTAAGAGCATTTGCTTAACTTGTATTGCTTTGCCCCTTATTACTTAGCTCCCGTTGGTGTCTTGCTGTAGTATTATACAGAGACAACTAAGCACATCTACGTCCATTGAGATCTTCATCCACCACATTCTCAAATGCGTGTGCTGCATGATAAATACTTCTAGCCATTCTCACCTGTTCTTGCTATCGCAATGCCTTCATTTGTGAACTGCTGCATGAATGGTCCATTGTAGGAAAACCTCAATTTAACAGACGAGAGGGGAAAGGGGGTCTGTTAACTCAAAATGATGTCAATTTCCATCCATTTACACTGTTTGTGTGACACTTGTCCAGACTACTTCAGAAATGGGCTTTTGTCTTGTTATTTGCGGGGGAAGCAAAAAGAGAAACGTTATCCATCGCCTCATAAGCCTGCTGAATTGAGGTTTTACTGTATCTTCATTTAAAGTATGATAATTGGTGATCTGTAAATTGAGTTGGTAGATAGGAAATGTGGTTAAAACAAGTAGATTAAGACTTATTTGGGGGGAAAATGCCACTGAGCAATAATCCATTACAGTTACAAGTAGTTGTTGGCTTCCTCACCCTAACAGGCTTCATACATTCAGTGGGTTTTATTTGCAGCTGCTGCTTAGTGTCAGTCCTGAAATGGCTCCTTCTGTGTCTCCATTAGCCCCTTAAAATAAAAATAAAAAATCCATTTTGATAAAGAAAAACCAGAAGACTCCTCAAAGGGGGAGATTTAAGGGTTTATTCTTCATTTTAGGAATCCAGTCTGCCAAACTGAAAAAGTACAGATTCTAAATGAACATAAATTCCCCCATCATTGAAAGAGTAAAAAATAAAATTTAAAGTTTACTTCAAGTTTAAATAGGTTTCTTTTTCTTCTTCAAGAGACTGTAAGAGATGAGTTAGAATGCTGAAACTTTTAAAGTGCTATAATTGGTATTTGAAAAAAAATAAGACTATTTCCTATAGATATATATTTGCCCAATTCCAATGTTACTTTTTAAATGTATATCCCACACTAATCTTTTTAAGAAGTCGTACTACACAGCAACATTAAGATTAATCTCTTTTTGTAGAAAACCAAGTATTCCCACCCCCTACCAAAATCTGCACAATCAAATTCTTCTGTGCTAATAATAAAGGCCAGCTAAGCCAGTGTCATCCCAATTCAGAGACTTTGGAGATCCACAGTTTAAAAAGTGCTCACCACTTCTGTGAAAACCCGAAGAGCCCTTCCACCATGCTCATTCTTGTAGGCAAAAAAAAAAATCAAAGTACTATAGATTCAAATGTGATAATTCTTAATTCAATTGTGTGCTCTTTAGAATGACGTGTGCACGGAAGTATGAAAGTCATAGTAAAAGTTGTATCAATGAAAAGATACATATTTATAGGGATCTCACATATAAAGAGTGCAATTCGCTACATTCAGATGTTTCAGTGGGACTTATGCGATACATATTCTTGGTTTCTCTGACAATAAGACAAGAGTTTTAAAGAGTACACAGAAACCTTTCAAAATTATTTCCCTTTGTACAATAGGACAATAGCTCCCTTATTGGTAATAACCACGTCAGAAGGCCATTGTCTTCCAATGTTTCATGGTTAGTAGGCTAGCCAAACATTTTTACAAACTTATCCTTTCTTAAATTTTAATGGAAAAACTTGTAAACATGACAAATCTTATTCAGAAGCTAAGTCAGTCAATGAGGGATAACAAGAAAGGTACAAACTAACATCTGAAGAGAAGGTGGGGACTGGGATTAAACAAATCCGCTTCAAATCAGCACCAAGGCTCAGCCCAACTGTCCGTGAAAAATTGTGGAACGAAGGCCTCATTCCCAGCCCTTTCTTTGTGCCAAGGGCTAAAACAGCCTCTTCTTTCTCCTCATAACAAAAGACACAAAAATCCCATCATAAGTTACAAAGTAATGGAAGCCAGTTGGTTAGGATCACCAGTATATGTAGCTGACTTAAGCTGCCCTTCTTTTGAGCTTCATCTCCTAGAGTTGGGGGCTAAGGGCCAGCCAGTATGGTCAGCTGTGAAGTTGGCGCCACAGTCAACGTAATTGTAGGTCTCCAAGGAACTTTGAGATGTGTGGCCAATGTAGGAGATTTTCACTGAGGTTCTGAAAGGCAGAAAGAAAAAGAAGAATTTTGTTTATAAACCAAAAAGTAAGTGGAGTCCTCACAATATATACCTATACTGAAATATTAAATTATGGGCCAGAAGGTTTATATCATTCAACATACAAATACAGCAGCTCCACACTGGACAATGCTCAAGTTAAGCTGCATTCAAAAACCATCTGCAAAGTTCTAGGGCAACATTGTACGTATCAATAAAACTATCTCCATTTAACATAAAGGAGAGGGATGCTACCACAGCATCTTTTGCCATTTGCCATGGAGACCAAATGGGGTTTGAATTAGAAACCAACAAGATCTAGAGGGGCACAGACTACTCACCTCGTTTAAATTTCCTGTAACTCCACTCTTCTCCTTCAGAAGCCCAGAAAATTGTTCATCAAAATACAAGTTTGCTAGGTAAGTGGTCAAGTTCAAACAGTAATCTGGGACCTACTGACATATAAAAAAACCAACAGACCCTCTCTCTGTTCCTACCAAACCTGGGTTATTCACCAGGTGTTTTTATATTAAAGCAATCAGATAAAGGCCCCCATAAATGTGGGAGAAGAGGAGTGTTCAAAGAGGAGAGACTTTTATTATGTGTTAAAACTAATCCAGGATATACGTAACAGTTTGTCTTTTCCAGTTGTTTTTTTAAAGAGCGAGCAATAATGCCAGCTTTAAAAAAACACAACTTCCTTACTTCCAGCTTTCCCAGCTTTTGGCAACTGCCATTAAAAATCAGCAGAATTATTAAAGGAGGTTCTGGGATTAAGAAAATGTTTTTCTAGTATTAGGGGACAATCACCAAACTAGTTATGAATTTATATTTAGAAATATAAAACAGAAAGGAAGAATGTTTTCAAATGTGTTTCTAACCCAAGAGATACAAAGATTTTTAAAAAAATCCGTAAAAGTTACACACCTCATAAAAATCACAATATTGTGCACTCGGATCTTTGGCAGTGTGCAGAAGAAACTGAAAGAGAAAATCACAAAATCTTAAAATAATTTAGAAACTAAATGACGCAAGCAATCTTGAAAACTATTATTCTATATCCTGAACATAGTATAGCCAAATTTAACCTTGAGCAGATTTTATTGCCAAATCTGTATTTAGCTTTATTTACCATAGGTTATGGACTATTTTTTATACCTATGGCTTTTGTTAAATCAGTCACAATATAGAGATACCATTTCAGATAGAGATACATTTCAGTAGAGATACCTTTTTAACAGTAGCATATTGATACAGCAACATCTTTTTAGGAATAAATTTACTTTTGGAACAACTAGGAAAATATTCTACACATACTTTTCAGGCTATTTAAACAATTAAAATATATATTTTAAAAGGTTGGGTTCTTCCAGTGATTTGAAGCAATGAGAAAGATTATGGCTTCTGATGATACTCCCATTTTTGTTTCTTTTAACATGGAAGCATGCAAGGAAAAGTTTTCAAATTTATCCAAATGGGAATAAGAAGGGATGATACTTGGAAACGTAGAACACAAGTGAAGTCTTGCACATAAATTATAAGCCTAGAAGGAACTGCCATAGATCTACTGCATATATAAGATAAAATAGCTGAAACTTTATTAGGGAACCTAGCAATGACAATTATCTCACAGCAAATATTCTATTTCTTCATTAATGTCAAATGCCAAAAACACAAATTACTCACTATACATAAGGTCCACCCATTTCAGCTTTCATGGTGAAATTTACCTGGAAAAACACAGATTGTGAGTTAACTATAAGGCAGCAACAGTAAAGGACTCTGAAGCAAACGTTTGCTTCTTCACACAGAGGTTGCCGTAGTGGATGGTGCCAATCACAAAAAAACCTCCAAACAAACAATGAGGCATTCAGATTATCTTTCTTTTTTAAGGGGGGGGGCAACAATAAATAAAGTCAGGCATTGCATTTTTTTTCAGAATAATTATGGGGTCTATTTTAAGTCAAGAGACATTCCTTATTCATAAATTTCATTTTTTTAAAATGTAGAGCTTGTCATCTGAGGGCACAATTTTGGGTGGCAATAGATATGAACATTTTGGACTTTCCAAGTTTTCCATTTATTGACTTTTCGGTAAAATAATTTAAAAATACATCTCATATTACAAGGAGCCAACAGAGGAGTCCATGGGGACACTGGTTCTTTCAGGAGCCAAATTGCCTTTCACTCTTGAGTTAGCTAGAGCAGGTGTTCCCAATCCTGGCAACTCTACGACGCGTGAATTTCAACTCCCAGAATTCCCCAGCCGTCATAGCTGGCTGGGGAATTCTGGGAGTTGAAGTCCATGTGTTTTAAAGTTGCCAAGATTGGGAGCCCCTAAGCTACAAGAATATCTGTTCTTACCACACCTAGCCCCTCTCTCCATAAATCTTAGTTTCATGTAAAATAATTGCCATACCAGCTGGTCACTCAGTGGCTGGATACGAGTAACGTTGTTGATTTGTTGGGTCCCAACCACAGTGTTCATGTATTGCACCTGACTGGACAAGTTGGTCACTGCTATAGAATAGAAATTGGAATTCCGGATCCGAAGGGTGGCCTATGGACAGGAGAGAGGAAGGAAAACTGCTGAAAACAGTTTTCCAGTTACCCTAGACATCTAACTTTATGAAGATTAATGTACTGGACCTTACCGTGATGGAAAGAATTACTAGGGAGTTTTTTTCATCAAACCAGACTGTAACCACCTTGATGCCATTGTCATCCACAAGCACTGAATGTGGAAAAAGAAAGAAGACCACCAATCCTGATGCTAGAAGACAGAGCAGCACTGACACAGAGACGTAGAGTTTCCTGCAGAAGACAAGGCCAATAGTTCAGGCAATTTGCAGTGCTCGGCTCCTGCAGGCAGATCTTGCTATATATTGCAAAAGATTCCATGTTCTACTTAGCAATAGAACTAGAAGACCTTCCACTTTAATATTTAATTCATTAATGCATCTCAGCGTTGTATTATTGTTTAACATTTGCAAAATTCTGAGACTGCATTATCAGACGTCATAAGATCTAGAGAATGATCAGGGGAATCTACTCAGCCATTCTAAGATGCATCTTAGTTTTTCTGGGGACGCAAATCAAGTTCTGACAAAATATTTCATCCTAGCCTGGAAATAGGCAAATATGTCAAATACTTTTTGTTCCCCGAGACAATTTTGGGCAGGGCTGTATACAATCTTAAGCAAGAATTAGATTTCCTATGCCATGACTAAGACGTCAATTGATTTCTGACTATAATTTTTAAAATTAAAGGTAAGCCTCTATTTTAATATTTCTGTAACACACTATTACTTTTAAAATTGCTTTAGCTATTCTGATCATCTTCAAATAAGATTTCAGTGAGGAAAATGATAATCATAACCCAAATTCTCAATTCCACTTCTTAACAGCCCCATTCTATGTAACATATAATAAGGGGTACTGAAAACTGTTAAGCCAGTAGCATGCGAAAAATCATCAAGTTCTCAGTCCTGCTTCAATTAAAGCAGTGTTTCTCAACCTTAGCAAGTAATCTGAACTTCCATTTCCAGATTTCACATCTCAGCCAGCATGTTGGCTGGGGAATTCTGGGAGTTGAAGTCCAGACATCTTAAAGTTGCCACGGTTGAGAAACTTTAATCTAAAATATTCCCTTCATGAAATTCCATTCCCAAAAGTAATGCTTCCCACTTCAGCCCTTGAAAATGTCTCTCCCCATAGACATGTCAATCAATATTCTTTATTGTTCAAGGGCATTTCCACATTTAAGACTTGTTATTTGAAATGATACCTACTGAAAATAATCATAAACAGACAGATAGGGAGAGGGGGAGGGAGGGAGAAAGAGAGGGGGGGAGGGAGAGATGTTTTAAGCTGCACTGAAAAAAATGAAACATTGCCTTCCCATTAAGATGCCAGAATTCACTTGGTAATTATAGGGACAGACTGAAGACAGCAAATTATATTGGTC